GTTGAATCCACAACCTTTCGTGAACTTCGTCTTGGAACAAGCAACCGTTTCCTCATGGCTAGACTGTTAAACATGTGGTCAGAATGTGAGTTAGATGGAACTAGATCTATTACCTCAATGCATATGTTGTGGTTAGATAAAGAGGTAAATTTATAAACATTCAACACCTACTGGTTTTACTCTTATCACAGAACAGTTACTTTAAGCTAATTTGTAACATTTTAACTCCTTTAGGGACAACTTATGGAAGCAAATGTACCCCATGAAAATTCTGCTCATATTTGTAAAGACATTGAGATTGGTTGTCTCTATACCATGATGAATCCAACTGTCATACCAGCTAGATCTGAGCGTCGCACTGCACCTTCCAATTTGAGGTTGTATTTTACAAAGGAATCTTCATTGAAAGCAATGATTGAATATCGGAGCACAATGCATTTTTCAGATGATTTTTTTTTTAAAAGTCCTTTCAATTGCAGTGGTTCTTCAACAAGCCTTCCACCTTGCTTCTCAGGTATTCATTGTTTATACTTAACCCACTGATTTCAAAAGATTGTATTAGAAATTGATGTGCTAAATATTGTATACTCCAAAGATCACATAGAACAAAACATCTAAAACATTTTGATATTTCAGATATCACAGGATGTGGAACGCATATCACCGAACCAACTAAAGTCAGTTCTGATATATCTATGTTCCAGATTCATCTTGAAGATATGAGGTACCACTTATAATTAGTTACTTTAATGTCTTACTAAATCAAGATTAGTCTATAATCATACTTATACTCCGTTTTCCAACTTTTTAGTGGAAACAAAGGACTTGTGAGCTATATTGGCACAAGAATTAAAGATTTCGTTGAAAGTGCTCTTGCCAAAGAAGTTCATTATCCTCTGGTTGTGACAGCAACAACACTCACCCGAAACATGCACGAATTTGACCATATTACACAGTTCTGTTTCGTAACATCTCCGGGCAGTCGTCTTACTGTACATCCGTACAATGAGATGACCAAAGATTTAATGAACAGGTAAATTTTTATGTTTATATGTTCACTTTTAATATATTTTGCATGTTTTATCCTAGAAGTTGTCTAATTTAACTTCCAATAGTAGTAGTGTTTTCAAATACTCCTAAATTCTATTCTTTGTATTTCTCCTATATCAAACTATATGACAGATACTCTATCGGTGCAAATTGAAAATAGTCAAATTCGACCTTGGTTCTGTGACCCGTGAAGTTGTTCCTGGAGACACTGAGTATTTCCAAATACCTTTGCTTTTTGATTCCCTATTATAAAACTACTATACATTGTTTAAATGTATCTAATCTACATATTTCTTCAGATTATTCTATGAACTGCAGGCTGAATGTGAATCAGGAAATCACAAGGCAAAGGTCATTCTTAATCATGGACTTGCTCTTGCTCTGCTTCGTAAGCCACCAATCGAGTTTAAAAAAATGCCATATGATAAGCGAGCTCAGTTGCTGAAAGAATGTCGTAACATCAAACTCATGGCAGAAGTATACATCATTGGATCAGAATATGGAGTTGAACCACAGATTCGCATATTTGCAATTTGGCATCCAAAAGCATTTCAACCATTACTGGATCTTAAACTGAACCTATAAACACTGTCCTCATTTTGCATTCGAAGAAGGTATATGTCTTCCCTTTTTTATTTCAAATACAGGAGAATATTGCTATTTATTAACACAACTGATGCTTTACATTTAATAATTAGCTTCTACTTCTGTTATTATTTCAACTGGTAAGACTAAGGGATGAATCAGCTGGTTGTCTGAGAAAGAATCAAGGGAAGGCAGAACTACGAGATATGAATTCCAATGTTATTTTGTGCATTTCATCTTTTCGGTAGTAGAAGAAGTACATTTATATTGTTATTGCAATGTATTAGTTATATTATGATTTAGAAGAACATATACTTCTGTGATTTCAAGTACATGTATGTCTTCTATTTAGTTCAGCTTTTGGTACGTATGCAAAACAATATGCACTGATAATATAACTACTACCGTTTTTGTATGTCTTCCACTTGCGTAATCATAAATCACCGGATTCTCAAAGTGATTTATAAACTATCATTTTTGTATGTCATCCACTTTTCTAATCAGCTCATTTATTCACCGTATGCACTGCATTTCTACACCAACTCTATATTTACCCTCACATCGTTCGAATGCAAGGAAAAAACGGGATAATTAGAAGATAAATGAATTGTAACTACCCATACTATAATAGCAACAATGAAAAAACGGGATCCCCTACTTTCACACTTTCGTGGTGCCCGGAAAATTTACACACCTAATTTACACCTCCAACTATTGTACGTTACTCAACTCAGCTGCATCCGGCCATCGGGCCGGGCACTAGGCTAGTAAAAAATAAGATTGGTAATAACTTAAGCAAAACTTTTTGTTTCTTTTTATTGTTCATATTGTAAACCTTGCATAATTGTATTTGATATTTACAATAACAATTTTATTTTTGATTATTTTCGATTCAGAGACATGTATACTATAAAGAGATTCAACTAAAGAAGTGTTATCTTATCTTGATCAATCAAATCCAACCTCGTCAAACCTGTGTGTTGAGTTCCAAATGTCAAAACCTTAATCACTTCAGCCAAAAATTGGCTCTGCACCATTTTGGTAGGGTCTTCCCAATTAGCCACTGCTAATCTTAATTAATCCTAATCTAATATAAGAATAACATAGAGGCAAACTTGATAATTATTCGTGTTTGTTGACTTGCCACTAATAGTCTCAGCCGAATTGATATTAGAATTAAATAAAAGTGAACTAAAAAATCATTAGTACTTATTGACTTGCAATTGCAAACTCAAATCAATTCCTCCCAAGCATTCTATTTAATTTATCGTTACTATTTTTTCTTTTGAGTTTAAGTATAGTGGTTGTCCCGGAAAAAAAATGTGGTGTCTACAGGATCTATTACCGATTGATTTGGATAAAACTTTTAACAAATGAACTAGTAATGAATAAATAGTATTATATGTGGACATATTTGTTAGAACAACATGACATAGGGGACCAAAATTGTTATTGACCCATTTTCTATTTGCCATGAAAATGAAAGTCCATTTACTTATTCATTATATATACAAAAAGTGACGTGAAGAACTCCAACAGTCTTTAGGCCCCTTCCTAAACCCACTGTCACAAGAAACTTTGGTCGGCTTATTATTAGATCTTTCTTTCTTTTCCCTCATTTCCTCTTTTCTTATCTATTATTATTAATTATTTCCATATCATATCATATCATAATACTTCTTCTGAGTATTATTATTATCTCATAATTATACAACAAACTAAATATTAATTATCTTCTTTTGCCCCCACTTCCACTGTTACAGCATGCCAATTAGCTCATCATCCCCACATAATGAAGGTTTACTAATTGCCCCCCATTGACTCTCCCGAGTCCACTTGTCCACCCCTCATTGGCTCCCCTCCCTCCTGTGACCTCTTCCTTGTATACATAGTTTGTGTAAGCTGACAACCTAACTTACAAGTTTTGTGTTTTTTCTATAATTTCACCATTTGATTGAGTGTTAAGTTATCACTTTGTGTCTTGCATTAGTTTATGAAAGTTAAAAGACAAATTTGTGCTTACAAGTTTCTTAACTTATTAATTCTTGATTTGGATGGGTGAGTCAAACATACCATACCATACCATAACTCAATTAGGTTACTAAACACCTTTCTCCCACCTGCAGCTACATGTTTGATTAGGAGCTAAGCCGTATTATTATATGCATAATACACAATTACAGAAAACCATTAGGCATGTGAATGAGCTGATGACCAACTCTTCTAGCTTAACTATGCTTGCTACAAAGAGTTTTGCTACATTTACAATTTTATTAGGCTTGAACCGGGTTAATTAAACCCATTGTACAGAAGAGAAAAGAAACAAAAAAAAAAAAAATGTTGTCCTTTCGTTGGAGTTTTGGCTCTAGATTAAAGTCAAAGCTGCAAAGACATTAGAAACTAGAGAGGAAAATCACATTCTAAGAAAACACAGAAAAAGAACCACTTTTATGGTTCTGCTGCTGCTGCAAAGTTACTTGATAAATGTGTTTTACTTAAACCTATTCAAAAGGGTTCTCTTGCAAGCATGACACTAAGACTAAGAGGCATAAATCAACCACACACACTTTCACAAGCAAAAGTCATAGTAATTTTGGATTCCAGTTCGTGTTCAGATGCTTCCTTTGCTTAAGACTCAATCTTCTTTTTCTTCCTCCCAATAACAACATCCATATTTAAAGTGTTATACATATATTTATATTACTCATCAAGTCTCCATGTTTGCACCTGCCAGTCTCGAAATTTGAATTTCTAGTTAACCCTGTTTCCCGCAACAAACATCCCATATTATGTTTCTTTTTTCCCCTTATTATTATTCTTAAAGTTTGACATTATTAATATTAGCAGCAGCAGCAGCCATAAACCCCCTAAAAACAATTTGCAGATATCTATGTACTGCTGCAAGAAAGAATGTCTGTTCTTCTCCAGTTGCATGCAATTGAGTGTCTTTCAAGCTTCTCTGATACCATCTACATAGAGATTTGAGAGATGGAAGAATTAGGTTCTCCAAAGTCAAAAATAAAATTTTTGCTTACCCAACAAGTTTCCTTCCTTCTGCTGCATGTGAAGTTAAGTGAAGCTGACTTGCTGCAATCTTTTGCTTAAAAGAATGACATTCCCATATTCTGATGCTATGCTGCTTGGGGTTCTCATTCTTAACAATGTTCCTCTAAAAAAAAGGCATTTTCTTTTCGTGCAACCCTTTGGTAAAGTAATTGAATTCCGCACGCTCATGGGGCTGGAATCAGAGAAAACGTAACACTTACACAATCTCTGTTCAAGTTCACCACCGAAACCACCATCTGTTGTCATATGCATGAAAGTAAAATTAACAGAGGGGAGAAGAGAAGTTCTGGTTTTGATTACATTGGTAACTGATTTGATTAACAGTTAACTTAACAATGCTGTCTAGAGACTGATTTGCATTAGTACATGGAGGGAATCAAATAAACGAACAACTCAAGATATGTTATTTCTGAAACTAGAAATAAGCCTTGGGATGGATTTTTACTGATACAGAAGTGAAAATAAAATGTAATTCTGAATTGGGGTGGTAAAAAAAAGGGGGGCATCTCCATCTCTATGGTTTTCTCCTGAAATAAAGAAAACTATTGTGGCAATTACTGCTGCTTTCTTCCTCTTCTCCTTCATTCTCTTTTGATTCATTACTGGAAACCTCTGTGATCCCACTTGATCCTGAAGATGATCCACATGGAACAACATTCAAATCCCGTGTCTTGTTGTCCTTTCTCATGAAGTTGTAGAACACAACCTTTCTAGTAGTAGGAGTGGTAGTCCCAGTTTTGGGTTGGGGGGAGGGTATGATTATACCATTTTTCTGGTCACCAAACTTAATGCTACTTCTGGTTTCCTCCTCGTTCTTGTTGTTGGCTCCCCTTTTCTTCAAAAAAATCCGGCACAAAACCCAGTTCTCCATTGGCACAACAGAGCTCTGCAATAAGAAAATATTTGCAGATATGGTTAGACAAATGCATTTCTCATTTCTTCAGTCCATGCATAAAGTTCAAAGCTTTTTCCTTCTCATTCAGAAACCCAATTCTCCATCAGAAAAGACTGCAACTTTTTTTTTTTTTTTTTTATCTTCTTCCGTACCTGATTGGTTGAGATGTTGTTGTTAGCTTGAGTAGTAGTTTCAGGATTAAGCAAGCGGTATTCATGCATGATCCAATCAGTTCTAGTTCCATGGGGAGGCTTCCCTCTGTAAAAAACCAGAGTCTTCTTCATCCCCGCCGCATAATTGCCCTTGGAAGCCAGAATTTGCTTGTCAATTCCTGTAGCCTTCCAGTAACCTGAGCCAGTAGCTCTATTCGAACGGTTCCCATTCGGGTACTTGGCTTCCTTGGTGCTGAAAAAGTACCTCTCTTGCTCCAAATCCCCTGCAACAAACACAAAAAACAGAGTAGCCTCAGTACTTGATCACATAATGTTTTGGGCCCTTCAATTGAGGGTTATCCTTTGTTTAATCATATGTGTTCAGCTGACCTGGCAAGTCCCAGGGATCAGATTTGCAGACGTCGACTTCAGGGATAATGGAGGCCGGCAAAGGGAAGGAGTAGACTTTCCTCTTCAGGTACTGAACGACGAGCTCTTCATCGGTAGGGTGGAATCTGAAGCCAGGTGGCAGCCTCAGGACGCCATTCTTCACGAAGCTGAGCTTCTCCATTTTGACTTGAGATAGGGGGGAAAAGGGTGTACCCGAAAAAATGGTAGTCTCTAACTTTAGGACAGGAAATTGGTGGTGGGGGAAGGAAGATGGGGGAGAGGAAAAATGTGGAGAGGTTCTTTATAGTAATGGGTGACGGAGGAAGAAGAGAAAGGAAAAAAAAAAAAAAAAGAGGGAATCAGAAGAAAGGAAGAAAGAAGGAATCAAAACCCCCAATCTCTCTCTCTCTCTCTTGTGGCCAGCCAAATTGGGGGTTTGTTTGGCGTGAACCAGACTCAAACTCTTTCCTTCCTTGTTTTGACGCTATTTGTCTCCCGAAGAAACGTTCATGGGTCCTTCAATTGGTTAATTTTGGGTATTTTTGGGGGAAAATGGCGTTTGGCCCCCTCCTTCGGAAATCCTTCCCGTTAAACCCACTCACCACCACAATCAATACTCTGTTTTCTTCTCTTCTTCTCCTTTGTTTGTTTATTGTTCTTTCTTTTCATCTGTGGTTAACCGTCTGATTTGTGATTAGCTGTGATGGTTTAGTTTGGATTTAACCCTTTTACTTATTTTAGTTCGAGTTATTCTTTCACAAGTTTTCTGATTTGGTTCTACTTCTTGCAACATCATAATAATATGTAATTGAAATGAATAATAATTTTGTTACAATGATATCGAATCAAATAATTTACATATAATGCAACGGTGCTAAAAAAAAACAAGTACACTTCTCTATTAAAAAATTGAAGGAAAAAAGAGAGAATTTATCCTCAATTTTTTATGCTCAAAGATTATTTATCCTGATTATATAATTTGGACGGCGGAGAGGGCAATTTGGTACAGGCACGGAATGTCCGTGGGGCAATCTTGTCCTTTGGCATCCAACAATGGATGAAAAGGACTAAAATGAAATAATTTGGGCACTGGTACAGTAATTTGACCCATTTGCGATTTTACAAGAGCTGAAGTCAGCTTATGTCATGCTTACAGGCTGTAGCTCCCACTTCCTTTTCAATAACCAAAAAATCAATTTATGCATTACGAAAGTACATAAATACCCCTGCCCCTTTGCCTCTTCTTGCATTGCATGCATGGATAGCGACGGCGGCCGGTCGCCGCGAGATGGCCGGTAGGGGAACCGAACCGTAATTCCGCTAATGATAGTTAAACAATCGGTACCAATATAATACAAGGTATTAGTTCATCGAAGTAATAATGAATTACATGATAATATGATATACCTTTTTTCTTCTTTTTATTTTATTTTGTATTAATTTTTCTGTGTATAGGCTGATGGTGTTGATTGTTGATAGATAAAAAAATTATCGTTAACTCAACATGTGTAAATTCTTAAATTCCAAAATATGAAGCAGGATGACATACATTGACATGTAGAAGTAAAGACAGAGTACATTTGACATTGTTATAATTTTAACGATTTGTTGTGTTTTACTCTTGTAGTCTTTGTTAGAAATGACTAAAACTCTAACCTGATTGATTAATATGGAAAACCAAAAAAAAAAATAAATAACTACGATGCGATACCAATCCATAAATGTAGAATAATCCGGCTATAGTATAAGTATTGGAATATATTTGAGTACTATACTTTAGATCTCTTACCACTCGTCATGGAATTGGCCAAATGATGCAAGCGTTGACATATGTGAAGAATCTAGTATATATGTATCCTGAATCACCTATCATCGTGACTGAACAATGATCAAAATAATCATATATGATTTACCTTATTTTTATGAAAGGTCACTAGCTCGCGACGTAAATCTCATATCTCCCATAAAAATTACAAATAGTACTTCTGCCTTCACCCTCCTTTAACCTGAATATTCTATTTAATGAATTAGACATATCACATTCTTTCCTCACAGTTAATTTCTTCGTATCTCTTCTATTTTTACGATGAAAAAGAGAGAAAACAAACTGTGATAGCTAACAACATAACCAGTAAAGTATTTATCAATGGAGTCAAAAATTATTCCATGTTTATGTCACTAAAAAAATGAACACCGGATATTTGAAAGGAAATTGTCCTCATTTTATTAATTTTCCATAACATATATATAAGAGGATATCTCTATTTACAAATACAACAATGTGAGGTTTGAAGCTCAACTTTGAATCTCACCATCGATCTCGGTCATGATGTCAATAATAATTACAGACAACACCACATGGATCTCTAATAATCCAATTTGGATCTTTTCTATCCTCTAGCTAGATATATACCAACGGCCGGTGATCATTTTGTCTTGTTGTAATTTTTATAATTTTGATGTGATGTAGTCAATGAACTCGTATTGTGAAACATTTATACGGTGAAAACTTCAATGACCATATAAAATAGTAATTATTATATTATTAAAAGAGGGCTGGCTAGCTTGCTCTCTTCTGCTTCACATCCACAAGGTAAGATCAAGCGATCAAGCTCATAGCTTTTATCGACGAACAAGGAAGAAAACAAAAGAAATGGGGGAATTTTCTATTTCCAAAAAAAAAAAAGTCGGTTTAGTATAAGTTTAAATTGGACGATGGAAACGAGAAATTATAGTAATAAACTATGTAGAGGAGAAGAGATAGAGATGGAGCTAGCTTTGTAAGAGGAAATGCAAACATAATAACATAAGTGGTCAAATTACTCAAGTACAGCCATACGTGTGGGCGCCTGCCGCTGGTTGCCGGCGCCGCCGTCTCCTTAAGCAGCGCACGTAACTTAGGAAATGATGCACCAAACGCAACCGAATTCATTTTCCGGCCCTACACTTTTCTTCTTTAATCCCCAAACGTAGATACGCGATTTGTTGGGACGAGCTTAATATCGACGTGATGTCCGAGTTTTATTAGTGGAAAATTTTAGGTCCGACTTATGCTATATGACAAGATTCATGTATAATTAAAGTATTAATCACGATAAGTAATTTTATGACTTCCAGTTAGTGAATTGGGGTTCAGAGGTGAAGCACCCGGTTTAGGGTTGGGGGCGTTGTCATCGACCTGTGATGTATGGACTTATATACGTTTGTTTTAGTGTTTTGGGTCATGTCTATAACATTTTATTTTTCCATTTTGGATTATGTAGGCCATCTAGAAAATGTGTTGTATATATATTATACCTTCTCAATCTCTATAATTTGCACCTTTTCAAATATAGTTAAGCTATATTCCACATAAATCTATATATATTTTACTTTGTTGCATTTGTTAATTTTTTCATCTGATCTAACCATTATGTTGGAGTATTTAATATATATGATGTCTAATAACTTGAGACGAAATAATTTTTAGTGCTTTAGGACAATAAGCCACCATACCCTGAAATTAATACACACTATTAAAAGGGCCTCAAAATTATTGAATGGAGGGGGCAACGTTGTCATTTAGATGATAAGGTGATATTGGGCGGGGAGGTTGGTGAGAATATAAAGGCCATCGACCCTATTTGCCTTCAAAACGACAGGTACCCACGTCGGATTCACTGCTAAATGACAAAATGCCACCTTCATCTCCATGACCCATCTCAAGATTTCCTCAAATCTTCCTGTCTCAAAATTCATTACATCCTCAATAAATTCTTTAAACCAAAACGAAAAAAAGAAAAAGAAAATGAAAAAGAAGAGAAGAGAATTATCAAATCAAAATTCCTCTCTTTTATGATTTTAACATAGATTCATATTTCATAGTGCATGACAACGACAATTATGCCCTTCCCTTGTGCAGCGGATTTTTTTTTTTGTTGTTGTTGTTGTTGGTCCAAGGGTAGATGTTTCACATTTTTAATGTTTTGAATAGTTTAAATATGACATTTTGTCTCTTAAATAATTAAAGTATTCATATATCCAATCAGTTATATTTTTTTTTCTTGAATCTGGTACTTGTATTACTCAAAGAGATCGAAAAAATGACTCAATCTGATACATCGAAGATAGAGTTAAAAGACTTGTGTGATAAAGTTATCCTTTACTTACATAAGCCCAGCTTACTACTAACAAATCAACTATCACGTAAAAAAACACTATTTACACAACATAATCTCATCCAAGTCTGCTCTCATATTTACATTGGATGACGCTAAAAGTATCAAATCACTTAATAGCATATCAACTTGTCTTTTAACTTGGTGCTTTTCTTCACCATGTATACATCGACAACGTTCCTTGTCACTAACAAACACCACAAAAATCCACATAATCATGCATATTGCTACTGTAGGCTATCTCGCTACATGACTTGCGCATACATTGCATCACTTCAAGACCCTCTGTTGAATAATAGTGAGCAATTCATAACCTGGAAGAATATATATGAGCATTGGAAAAAGAGGCGCTTCCATGACTCTTAACTCCTGCCTCACACAACACATACTTGTAGCATCTGTAAGCTCCCCATCGCAATGAGATTGAGTCGTGTTATGGCAACTTTTAGTCTTTTACTCCAAATCAACTTATATCAGTGGATTTCTTGCTCTTTTCCTCACAAATAACTTCAAACCATCCACACATTGCACTTTAACAGGAATTGAATCACAAAATTCAATTTCCGACGGTCAAGTTTTATCAGCAAAGAAGAAGAACTCCGCGGCATCGTTTTGACCATCTCCATTTAACCATACCGCTACGATGTCGTTCTACCTTTACCTTTCTTTCACTTCGATTTCTTTTGTCTCAAGCATGAGCTTTGTTTCCAATCCAAGCTAGCTGACAAGAATTTAGCAACTGGATTGTAGATTGTCTTCTTGTAATGGTTCAGCCTATATAAGGCTTCACTGAAATGAGAATGAGCAGACTCTAGGGTTTCACCATCTCAAATCTTTGTTATGGTATCAGAGCCCTAGGAGCCGCTGCCATGGCCACAAACGAAAACCCTCAAACAGCTGCAGATGCTGCCACTACAGATCCTAACCCACAACCACTACCACAGCAACAACCTTACCTCATGGAGGACCCCTTTTTCTTACATGGCTCCGAGCAGCCAGGTGCCTTATTGGTGGGAGAGAAGCTCACCACCACAAACTACAACGACTATAGTAGAGCAATGCTTAATGCTCTCTTAGCCAAAAACAAGTTAGCATCAATGGAGCCATTCCAGAACCTG